AACTACAATCTTGATAAGGTTCCGTTACGCAAATTAAGATATCAGGTGTACACGTTATACGTTAAGTTCTGAGATGTGGCTGTACATACGGGGTAAATTGTGCATATACATATATGAGAAAAAAAATTACATTCACAATACCGATATAAAACCCTATTTATATGTATTGATTTTCTAGGCTCGGAGTAAAAAACAATTTCATTATCTTCAGATTAAGCAGAGCGGCGATCTCGAGGCTCACCGGAAACTCGAGAGTAAATAAAAATGGCGGCTATAATCGATGGACGCTGTATCATCAGCTCGCTCTTCTAATGTGATAACTTGCGTTTCATTGGTCTGGCATTGTATACAGTCTAATAAAACCGTTCCATACGTTCAGATCATCAAATATGCGCAATATAGGATCTAGGCCTGACGCTGTTAGATGTAATCTCATTCAAACAACCTTTCGTTGGCTCTGTGATGTGGAGGTTTTATCTAGACGGCTATAGAAACATTTGCCTGACGTTTTATTTGGTTTCCTGATAACAACAAATATTCAGTGAAACACGATAAGAAATGTGTTTGTTCTGCAAGAATACAGTATGTGGGGGTGGAGTGAGAATGCAGCGATAGTTATTAAGACTGTGGGGTCACAGATCTTTTGCAAGATTAATTACCTCCCTTTCTGATGTGTCAACAGAAAAATACCATGCTCGATTTGAAGCCACAATTATCAGCCTACCTCTGGGATTCAAAACCTTTTTAAAACCTTGTCAATTGGTTTCGGTGTTCTTTCTGAAAATTGAAAATCACAGTTTTACAAGCGATTATTTCTGATTAGTTAAAATTCAAACAATTCAATAAAAATATGATGCAAATAAACTTTGGACAGCTATGGCAATTCCGTGCTAGGGTGTTCAAGTCAAACGTATTTTGTTGTTTCATCGAGCGTGTGAAAATCGTACATTCGTTATTTAAGAAATAATCAACATATGCGCTTGTACTGTATTATGGTTGAATCAAAGGTGAGAAAATTCATTGTGGAAAATAACATTTTCGAATTCCCGATATATACATGTACATGTATATACCAACTTATGTTGATTATATCTATTTCATCAGATACATATGTAATTAAATGTACCTTTGTGTCTTCTTCAGTGAAGCTAAGACATCGTGACCTACGTGTAGATAACTCATTTTTTATGTATATATATATAGATGATCTGTTGTGCATGTAAACATTTGTAACGTGATACCTCGTTTTCAATTCACAAACAAACCGATGTCACATCTGATTTCTGAATTTCTAGACGTTAAGCCAGTGGCCTTGTTGTGACAGTTTACTACTGACGCACGTGGAACATTTAGATTTGTACATGCACGCGTTTACCCTCACCCGACAAAGCTTTACAACGTAATTTGTCCAAAACAAGTCACACACATTTACACTTGTATAAATTTGCAATACAGACGAAGCTTTTAGAAGAACTTTGCAGGTGCTTGGTTTGGTAGAAAAATAAAACATGCACCCGCATGTATTATTGTCCAATATTGTATGTTTTTAACCAACGAAAAGCGCCATTATGACAACCATGAGGTAGAGGAATACGTACTAATATATATGTTGAATTGTGCTGATACAAACACCACTTACACGTTTGTCACCAACATTCAGATATCATTTGACTCATTCACCCCTGAAGACACATTTGAACTCTTCCTATTCAAAGGTTGGAATAGTTCATTATGAAATTTCAGGGGTGAATGAGTTAATTAGTCAAATTTGCTTGCTTTTTTTACAAGACCATAACAATATCCCAGTAATCCAGAGGCTATCTATGAAAATGAAGGTGGCTTTATTATCGAGACACCAATTTATAGAAACAAATCTAATGCAGCGATATGTCCACAATACGTTATTTACGTCTGGCTCAATCGATCAAATTTTCCTTCTGTGTTTTTATCTCTAATTTACCGTGAGTTGAACTGGCATATTTCCGGTAGCCATTTCCTTCATATACACATGTTCGTACATAATTCGGAAACGTGCTCGATTAAAAGGAAGATTTTTTCGAACATGCGCCATTTATACTATAAGATAAAAATTCGATATAATGCCCCTCCTTTCGTTTACCGCTTAGCATATCGTGAGTTTATTTCAACATCTTCTCTTTCCCCTTTACCTGAACAATGCCTTTAAATGCACCCCTCGTTATATCGCCAAAACCCGTTTATAATGCCTTAAGGCTACTGGCATTATAATGAGGTTTCACTGTGCTTTCTACGTATCTGGTAAGTGCGCACAATGTACTATTGCAAAACCCCGTCACATTGCCGTATTTGTGATCTCCCTAATTAGCTATCCTATTTCCTATACGTGTAAAAACTGACAGGAGTCAAATTTGATAAAAAATAATTTTACAACAATTGATTATAACGTTATCTATTATATGAACAACGGAATTGGCGGTTAGCACTTTTAAAGATAAAATAACGCTGTAGTAAATATTGTTTGGAAATTGCATTACTTCTTCCCTTAAGAATACCTTATTCGATTATTAGACGAGACTGAAGTTTCAAATATGCCAAGACCGATAACGACACACACCACACGTACTGTACGTACAATGGAATACAATAAACGATCTAGGAGTTTGATTATAAACATCAGAAATAACTAAAACAAAATACACATAGCCTATCGCTTGGTTGTACTCAAAATAATTAAGTTAGGGCAAAACAAAAGATCGATGATTTTCTGTGTTATGTTTTTTTTCTGACAAATATGCATATCAAACCCCAATCAGTGGGCCTGTTTTCATTAAGTTGACGTGTGTTCTAAACGTTGATAATATAAAGCTAATTAATTTGTGTAGGCGTAGTTTCGTACACAACAATGACGTCATAACAAGTGGTTATAGAATTTACAAAATAGATGTTATTTTACAACAACATTATGAAACAAGTTCTTTTAACATACACGTTTGATGGCCCGGATGTAAGTGCAAGAGTGGCATTTATGTTGAAGAATGCCTGCAGAAATCCCTCATGGTTGGGAAAGTGAAGAGTTGTTGGATGGTGGCGCAGTGAATAGCGCACACGCCTTTCGCCAAGACGTTCAGGGTTCGATTTCCTCAGTGAAACGTGAAAAGGTATGGGGTCACCCGCCCAACCACGTGGGTTTTCGCCATGTATTCAGGTTTCCTCCCATATTAAGAGCAACTGCGCGCTTCTATCCGGGCCAACAAGAGCCATTTACAAAAGATGAAAAAATATTTCATAATTGTTGAAAAATTAATAAGGTTTATTTATGATAATTGACCAGACGAATCGAACCTTGGTCGTTTTAATGAACTGCGAGTGCTGTAAGTTCAAAACTGAAAAATGATATAATGAAACAGGATAAAAAAAAATGTCTATTTTTAAAAAAGAAAAGCAATGTGTGTCAAATAAAAATTAAAGACTGGTGTTTTTAATGGGGGCTAATGGTGATGCATGTGTCTGTCCATCTGATTTTCCAAATACGATTCCTCTTAGACACATCAAGTTAAAGCAAAGTAACTTCTAGATCGGTTTCAATTTTTGGTAAAAAAAACTGTAACAAGCAATTAAGATATAAGAATAAACTTATCCGTAGAACTTTGCGAACAAACAAAACCGCCTCCACTCCCCATTTTTTAATTATTGAATGTTTTACAAAAAGATATTTTTGTCGTAGATATTACACTATATATGGACATATTGCTGATCAAAACTCGTTCATTTGAATTTTTTGTTTAACAAGCGTAGCAGTTGATTGAACTGGCCCCCTTGTATCCGGCACTTTTTACAGACAAGCGTTATCCGAGATTAAGGCCAACCCGGATTCATTGCAGTCTTGTAATTGAGTCACGACATCGCTGCGCTTTTTCTATGGCCAATTAGCTGTCGTGTTTTGCTTTAATCCAGTATCTGACAACTGAAACTAATTGACAAAAACGTGACCGGGAATCAAAATTCCTCATTTTGCTGTTTTAACACCTCCGTTACAGTTCATAACAAACAGTCGGCGTCGATCGATAGTCTGAAGGCACCGGTTGCGTTTCCGCCGCTAGTTGTGTTTTCAAATGGTTGAACGACATGTGATGGAGGGCTACATTTTATAACGAGAAATAAACATCAAGTACTTGATCAATGAAACGTTTAATACATTCTGGATATTTTTGTAAAATAAAAACGCTTAATAGACAATGATAATATCCTATTTCTTGGCATTTATTGCCTTTATCTTTTTCAGGTATTGCTAGTTTAATGAGAAGTTTGACATATCTACCCATCTTGATGCTAAGTGAAAGAGCTAACATTATCATGACCAGAACCTATATTACATTGTCTATTCTTGCATTTCATGTTTAATCAATGATAAGCTTGAAACAAGTATGCACCTGATGTGAAATGAAAGCGTTCGGAAGACTATATGGTTAAAACCAATAAGGCACGGTATCAACTGCATCTTATCGTGACCTTCAACACTAAATCTATTTGAAGTTTGACACACAAACGATCCTGAGGTGAAATGAGAGAATTAAATGGAAATATCATTAAATAATAAATCTAAAAAAAAATAACCTTCATCTTCCATATTTTTATTGTAAACGTCGTTATTATGAATTGCGTTCAGAAAAACCAGAGAAAATAACTGCAATACGCAAAGACGGACCGAAATTCATGTATGTACGTCAACTTCTCCTATAATTAACGACTGAGTTCTAATTAAGTTTTAGTTAACGTAATTAGATTGAAAGAAGACAGTTGTTGAAAGTCACAAACAAATATTTGAATAAATCAATGACCGAACTGTTGACAATGCTTGTTTGCATAAATCGTGCTCTCTAATTGGTCGGTTGAGAGTGATAATAACCATAATTAGTATCTGTCACAGTAGAAATTCACCTTAAACCTTTATATTTCACTGGAAAAAATGCAAAAAAATATTTCTGTTTGATAGGTTTTAATAAATACTTTTATTTTTTCAGGTTCGTTTTTTTTGGTTGCGAGTGATATATCAACTGGTGAATTCAACTGATGGAAATACCAGGTAAGACACCGATTTGTTAGAAACCTGTCCAGGACAAATGTTATATCATTGTACCAGTATTTCATTGTACCGTATATGATTTTGAGAAAAAGGGATGTCGGTGTATTTAGATAACGGTGATTCGATTTCCGAGGTCACGATTCTTTGTTCGCAACACAACTATATACATGAGCTATTGTATTTATAAAAGTTCGGCGACTGTTTTCTGTGTTTGGAAAGTATCAGAGCACAGACTGACGGCTTCAATGCAACATGATCGATTCCCAATCTCAACATCTCGGGAAACTCCATCAAAGAACGGAATCATATCCCGCTTTGCCGGAGTTAGCCGTGATCTAACGATTGAATCGATTCCTTGTTTACCACTAAAATCTACCAAAGTTTTCCGACCCTATGCGAAGCTCTTTAGATGCTCTCAATTGTAAATAGGTAAATAGACAATTAGAAAGTTAGGGGGCTGCATGACACAGTTGATAGCGTACCGGCCTATCACCGTATGATTAACGTTTCGGATTCTGCAGACGGCCAGATGTTGTAGTGTCCTTGTGTAAGACACTAAGTAAATAATCAGGTTGTTCATCACCACCTGCCTAGAGTGTAGTATAATACGGTCTGAGTTTGTTACTGCGTTTTATGTGTTGTTGTATTAATATAAACTTTATTTCATTCCAAATTAAGTTGCATTACATCACATAACATACAAAGTACAGAGGAATGGGATCCGGAAACAAGTTGAAATAACTTATATAAATCCGTTTCCGAGAATGTATCTCATTAATTTAGGGCATGATGGTATAGTTACTGAATTCTATGGAAAGAAATATAAACACTTAAAACAGTAGCTTACTTTTAAACGTAGTTCAAGGGATATTTGAAATGAGAGTAAAAGAAAAGGGGTACAGGGTGGGTGGGTG